CAATCACCCTTTGGAGGAACCCCTCTCCATACTAGACAGTAAAATGGAGACCTCCACTTTTCCTCCGACCAAGTTGGTGTTGATATTCAATGGTTTGGTTTGGCCTCGGAGGATACAAGTTGGGAAAAATGGGATGACCTCCAATCCACTTTTCAACTTGAGGACAAGTTGCTTTTCCTAGCAAAGGGCAATGATAGCAACCCAATCCTTAGTGCCACCCCAGCCCAAGATGCTCGGCCCAAGAGAAAACACAAGGAGGCCTAATTATATGAATGACTTTGAGTAGCTATTGTGAATCACATTTAGAGGATTATTTTGCTGCACTCTTAGGTGTCATTGATAGATATCATTGCAAGAGTTTGTTAGGATTGCCATTCACTATTACTGCTTTTGCTTTTGGTTATTAGATTCCATTTTCTGTTTCCATCATTTGCAGCAATTGTAATCCTTATAAATACCATTACAATAAATAAGAATGGCAGAAGAATTCAGAATATATTTCTTTTTTTTCGTTAGTAGTAGGAGGCTTCCATATCCTTGAATTCTAGCTCTATCAATAGGCAATTTGCCAACCTGGACTTAAGCTATGATACCATGCAAAATTTCATCTTAAACCAATTGACATTAAATGAAATTGCACAACAGATATATAAGTTGCACCCCAAGAGTTGAGGTAGGTGATATGGGACCTTCCAACATATGAACATCATCAAAAATAGGTCATCCAAACCCATAAATGATCATGTTAAACTATGAATGTACCAATCCTGACTTGATATTCCAAGCTAAAGTATGTTGTCATGTCTCAAGCCTGAGCTGAAAAATAATTTTAAAATTTGGAGCCAAAAGAGCATGTCAGACAGGCATTGTCAGTGTGTTTGAAATGTGACCGAAAGTCCAAAACACAAATAGAAAGCACCAAAATTATGTGTCCACACTTTATGGGAGTGATAGGATCATTTTTGCTGGTTTTGATTTGAGTGTAAAAGGGGGAGAGAGAGAGAGAGAGAGAGAGGAGTTTGCAATGTTTAGTTACAGTTAGTTCAAACTTTGATTCTGTTAATGCCATTAGTCTACATGGTCAATTGGATTTGGAGTGCAGTGGCCTGAAAGATGGCACGCAGGAAATAATGCTTGAGATTAATGTAATTTCCCATAAATTAAATCTAACAATGAAAACAGAAATTTTCATGAATTACTTTAAAACTAAACTAAAACCATTACCCTGTAAAGGCAACATTTACCCAGGAATTCAATAATTTCTTCAAGTGAACATCAGTTGATAAAACAGCAATTTGATATTAAGCTGCTAATTCAGTATCCACAAGCTAAAAATAGATAAATATTTTCTTTATTTATATTATTGATAGCTACCAATGAAGCAAGGAACTGAGAAATAATAGAATAAAAGCCAAAGAAAATGTACGTAAAATATGTAATGGAAGTTCAATACCTACCGAAATGTGCTACAAATAAGTAGGTTGGACAAATCCATGGGCACAACAACAAACTTTTTTAATAGCAAAGAAAAATACAATTTCTTTAATTTGATAAATACCCCACCTTAAACAAATAAATTACCTTAAGTCCCTCAGTAGAATCTATATCAAGATATGGAGCAAGTTCTTCAGCTGCAACAACACCACCATTAGATGCTATGTATTGTCCAATCTGTACATAAGACAATATAAGTGGGTCAAAGGAAAAAAGACGTGTGAAGATAATGGAAAGTTTAAAAGAAGAAAGACGCACAGCATTTTAACCAGCAATGTGAAAAATGGTACCAAATATGAAACAAACTAAAAAATCATCAAAGGCAACGGACCACTGAATTCAGTCCTCAATTATTACCAACTTCCATCTCTCTTCTTCAATTCCTTGATTGGGATCACCATCTCCAAATACAAAGGAGAAGACCTACCAAAGGTAAAAAGCCTTATCTTTATTAGAAACAGTAAAAAAAAAAAAAAGGGAGCAAAAAATATCATTTGCATCACACACCGATTCAATGAAGTTCATCTTGTCATCATCAGCTTGTCGCCTTCGCCTCCTATAATAATATGGATCCCAGTACCTTCCATGGTATAAGAATAAATGATGTCACCAAACATTTCTCTCAAAGCAATGTGTTTTTTTTAAGTTGCATGAAACTAGAGGAATGAAAATATATGTAATTCAATTAAAAATTAAAAGAAATTCAACTTCCCCTACACTTCCCACATCAATTACATAGGCTCAGAAAAATGTTAAGCTTTTACGGTATATAACAGTGTTACATTGTTCGTTAATAATATATCTCCCATACCACATTTTGAAACATTCATTTCCAATTGTGGGTTGTTTGTGACCCCAACACGCTCTTTAGTAGCGTTCCAATTTTTAGATCATTATATAGAAAAGGAAGAACCAAAAAACAGTTACTAGAAGGGACCACCACTTAACCCTGCTTCTGCATATGTTATACTGCTCAGTGCCTTTTGTCTGCTTGGTGTTTAGAAGCAGCCACAAGGACCGGGGGTAGAGAAGGATGGCATGAATATTTTAGGAAACAAAACCATTATTTGGGAATATTCACTGATTGGCTCTGATGAAGAGAAGATGATTAGTTGGGCATGGTCAGCGACTTATGGGGATCCAGACCATCAAATCTACTTCTGGTTTGTTATATTATATTACTTTTGTAGATGTTTATACTCAATTTACTTGGATTAAACTTTTAAAACAAAAGATGTCACATTATCAAATTTTATATGGTCGCACCCCTCCGGTATTATTTAAGGGAGACACTTTTCCCTCAAAGGTAGATGTTATTCGACTTCAATTGGAAACTGGAAAGAGATAATATGTTGCAGCAACTTAAACAAAACCTGGACCACTACCTCAGTTTGCCCATCAGTTTGTGGGTGACATGTGGTAGAAAATAGAAGTTTAGTTCCTAGCCTTGCCCACAAGGTTTTCCAAAAGTGGCTAAGGAACTTAACATCTCTATCAGAGACTATAGTTTTAGGTAACCCATGAAGTCTCACTACTTCTTCAAAGAATAACTTAGCAATTTTGCTTGCATCATCCACTTTGTGGCATGGGATAAAATGTGCCATTTTACTAAAACGGTCCACTACCACAAAGATGAAATCCTTTCCTCTTTGGGTTCTAAACAACCCAAGGAGCATTGGATATGGGCAAGGGAGTGTATAGTCCATGAGGTTTTGTTGTAGATTTAGCTTGAAGACAAGCTATGCATCTAGTACAAAATCTTTGATCATCTCTTTTCATATGAGGCCAAAAGAATTTCTCTTTTAAAAGTAAGAGTTTTCTCAATTCAAAAATGCCCCATGAGCCCACTCTCATGGCTCTCCTTTACCAAAAGTTTCCTAATAGATCATTGGGGAATACAAAGTTTGTTTTCTTTAAAGAAAGACCACATCCTTCTTCACCAGCTCATTGAGAGATGAAGCTAATGTAGAGAAGTTAGGAACAAAACGTCTATAAAAGCTTGTCAATCCATGGAAGCTCCTAACTTCACTTACATTAGTAGGAATAGGACATTTTTGAATGGCTTTGATTTTCTCGGGGTCCACATGAACCCCTTGTTTGCTCACCACAAATCCTAAGAATATAACATTATCAACACAAAAGGTGCACTTGTCTACATTAGCAAACAAGTGATTGTCTCTAAATACAAGCAACACTTGTCTTAGGTGATCCACATGATCACTTAAACTTTTGCTATAGATTAATATATCATCAAAATAAACAACTACAAACCTACCAATGCAATCCCTAAGGACATGATTCATTAACCTCATGAATGTACTAGGTGCATTAGTAAGCCCAAATGGCATTACTAACTATTCATATAATCCAAACTTAGTCTTAAAAGCAATCTTCCACTCATCACCTTCCTTAATCCGAATTTGGTGATATTCACTTTTAAAATCTATTTTGGAAAATATGGATGACCCATGCAATTCATCAGGAATGTCATCAAGCCTAGGAATTGGGTGCCTATAATTAATGGTGATGTTGATGGCTTTACAGTCACAACACATCCTCCATTTTCCATCCTTTTTGGGCACCAATAAAACAGGCACAGCACAAGAGCTTAAACTCTTTTGAATCCAACCCTTATCCAACAAATATTGTACTTGTTTCTCTATCTCTTTTGTTTCTTGAGGATTTATTCTATAAGCTGGTCTATTGGGTAGACTAGCTCCAGGTACAAAATCTATTTGATGCTCTATTCCCCTAAAAGGTGGAAGTCCCATAGGGCCTTCACTGGGAAATACATCATCAAATTCTATCAAAAGATTTTGAATCTCAAGAGGTAGAGAAAGTTCCATAAATTTTGTGGCAGTGCATGTGAGTGTTCCTCTACACATGAGGATATAAGAAGATGGTTCAAGTAAGAGAGATGTTTTTTGCAAGGTTTTTGTTTCAAGCTTCTCTTCTTGAACTATCTCTAGAGAGGGAACACTAGTCTCTCTAGATTCCTCTTGTTTCCAAATTTTTTGAGATTTTTTTTTTTACTTTCCTTTTTTTTTGTTTTCTTTTTCTTGATCATGTTTGGTCTTCATTTGTACTTGATCCTCTACTACTTGTGAAGGTGTAAGAGGATGAAGTACAAACTTTTTACCCTTATGAGTGAAAGTTATCTTGTTAGAGAAGCCATCATGATGTGTTTGTTTATCAAATTGTCATGGCCTTCCCAACAAAATATGACAAGCTTCCATGGAAACTACATCACATTTAACTTTATCTTGATAGTTCCCAATGGAAAACTCTACTTCCACTTGTTGGTTAACCACCATGTCCCCATCATCATTGAGCCAATGAAGTTGATAAGGTTTTGGATGGGGTGTGGTAGTTAATCCCAACTTTTCAACCATCCTAGTGCTACAACAATTGCACCAAGATCCACTATCCACAATTAGAGAACAAGCTTTATTTGAAATATTACACCTTGTGTGAAAAATGTTCTCTCTTTGGGATTGTGTATCACCGGGATTGTGTATCACTAGATTGGTTATTGAGGACCCTTCTCATCATAAGAAGTTCACCATTGTAAGGGTAAGTGACCTCACATTGTTCTTCCTCACTTGCTTCCTCTTTATCTTCACTTGAAGATGAAGAAGTAGTAGCTTCATCTTGGCTACTATAAATGTCTTGGCCCCTTAATATCATGACCTTCTTGTTAGGGCATTGAGAAGCAATATGGCCTCTCCCAAGACATTTAAAACACTTTATCTCACTAGACTTGGTGCTAGCGTGTGAGGTGTATTTTTTTTCTCTTTCTTTTTCCTTACCTTTGTCTAGGTTTTTGGAGGAATCAAAAGTGTTTTTCTTTTCAAAATTTTTACCTTCCCTCTTGTAGTCTTTCTTGGAATAAGAAGATGAAAATGAACTTTCTTTCTTGAAACTTTTTCTCAAAACTTGTTGTTCAACCTTGATACAAAGTTGAACCAAATCATTTAAATCTCTGTATGGTAAAAGCTCAACTTTATCTCTTATTTCCAAATTAAGACCACTCAAAAACCTAGAAATGGTAATGTCTTCCTCTTCTCTAATTCCAGCCCTCATCAAATATAACTTCATTGTTTGTCTATATTCCTCAACACTCATGTTTCTTTGATGGAGTCTTTGGAGCTTATTCATAAGCTCCCTAGTATAATATGAGAGTATGTGTCTCCTACTTAAGGCACTCCTTAACTTATTCCAATACTGAATTGGAGGATCATTATGAAGACGCCTATCCCTAACAAGGGATGTCCACCAATACATGGCGTGGCTTTGAAAACTTAGGGTAGCAAGAGACACTTTTCTATCTTCACACACTTGATGGCAAGTGAAGATTTGTTCAACCTTCATTTCCCAATCAAGGTACCCCCCTCCACATCATCTTTTCCATGTAAATAAGGGAGTTGGGTTCCCTATTTTTGGGGGTCCTATGAGTTCTTCTAGGAGATGGTTGATAATGATCTCCTAAAGCTAGGCTATCATCATGCATAGACTCTCCTAGGGCTGAACTATGGAATTGAGAACTACTATGTCTACTTCGGTGCTTGTTGTGTAGATTTTCTTCCTTTTGCTTTAATATCCAAATTTCCTCCTCTAAGAGTGCAAGTTGGGCCTCTCTTTCAATTTTCTCTTTAAGTCTTTGTTTGGCCTCTTGCTCTCTCCAAAGTTTTAGTGATTTCAATTCATGTGCCACCTTTGAAAGATCTTTGTAGGCACTTGAATCAGTATCACTTTGATGAGGAGAATATTCTTCCATTATAGGCGAAAGTTTTTCTTTAATAAAAGACTTTTTGAAAGCAATTTTTGAAGGTTTAGACTAAGTACTTGGAGGACTAAGTATACAAATTAAACTTTGGAGGGAGATGAACTACTAAGAGCCACTTAATAACCAAGCCTCTTCAAGTAAAAATTATTAATCCCCTTGTAATTAATCTTCACCTAAAATCATTTTTAATGAAAATATTTTTGTTGTTTTGATGTAGTGACTTATCTAGACGAACAAGTAATTAAAGACAAAGTAAATGGCAGAATTTTAAAGCTAAGTAAACGGATTCCTAAGGTGAAAGCTTGATAGGTACCAAAGACCTTCAAGGACCACTTTCACCAAGTCTAACGCAATGGAGGTTCTATGGAGAGATGGTTGGGTACCAAAGACACTTCCAAGACACTCCAAATGGCCAATTACAATTAATGAACAAATGCTAAAACAGAAAATGAATTCAAAGTGGCTTAGCAATTAAAATAAAACAGCCACCGAAACTAGTGAGGGAATTAGAGACTGATTTTGTAAGGGAAACAAATTTTGTGACGGAAATTCCGTCTCTAATTCTGTCTCTAGTACTCTTTTTTTTATAAAAAAAAAATAACACAATTTTGAATGTTTCTTCCAAGTTGAAGTCCACAGATTTGAAGGAGATGCAGCAGCCAAAAATCCAGGTGTTTGAAGTGTTTGATGGTTTTGCTTTGTAACTAGCCAAAAGTCCCCTCCACTTGTCACCTTTCCACAAATCTTTCTTAGTTCTCTTTTGATGACCCTTGTAGAACTAGCTTCTAAAGAAATGTGTTAGATCAACACTAGGCCAC